AGTGGGGGAGTCAGTATTTAAACTGGGGGTCATTCTGATCACCAAGCTCTATCTTTCATGACTCTGTTATGTTCCCTTGGAAACAGTCTAATAAAGGACCTGTTGTTAGATTGAAGATATAGCTACTTCCAAGCTTTGTCTGGCTAAGTGTTGGGGACATTTCAAATGAAGTGATTCAAGTAACATGCTTAAAACAAGGCCTGAGTATAACAAATATCCTACGTACCTATCTGCAAGTCCTTCCTAAAGTGTGGCTCTGAATCCTACTTCTGTTGTTAGCTATGTGACTTTGGGCAAGTTATTTAAGATCTCCATTTTCCTACTTGTAAAACAGGGACGAAAATAATGCTACTTCTAGGCTAAGAGGAGATATGAACCAAATTGTGATCTGTGAGAAACATCATCTGGTTTATAAAAGTACTCAATAAACAACATATTAGCATACTTAGGTCCATGTTGTATAAATGAGCACTGTACAACACAGTGATACAGATTGTTTCCTCTGTGGTTATTCTAGATGCTTCTCTCCACTCACATAGGCTCCCTGAGACAGGACAGAGGTTAAGAATGTGGGAACTGGAAGCATACACACCGAGTTCAAATCTTGAGCTAACGTGAGTTTCTAGGCATGGGAGCCACATCCAGTTCCCTTACTTTTTCTCCTCTGCTCCATGGAGGTAAGAGTTGGCTGAGTGAGCACGAGGTCCATGCTGTGTGTGGGACACCACATGCCCGGTGCCTGGCAGCCTAGATTTATAGAGTTGGCACTACATCCTGGCCTCAGAGGTCATAAATTGGCTTTTCCAAAGCTGGACACCTGTTAGGTCAGTGTAGAACGCTGTAGTTGAGTAAGAAATCTATGAAAGAAGAGACTCTATGCCTGAACTGGGGAGGGGCTTGGACTAATGTGGTACAATCTTCCATCTCATGTTTTATTTCTTGGATTTTGCTCCAAGTCCCACAGGCCCTGATACCATTGGTTTTTGGTTTTCTGAGTTGATGGGTCAAATACATTTGCACCTGTGACTAGTTTCTTCTCATCTTGCAACTAGTACATTTTTTAAAAAATAAAGCACTGTCTCCAATGTCCTTCTGAGCTGCAGAGAAGGCTGTCTTCCTCTGGTAAAGTGGCTTTTCCATCAAAGTAAAGCATGGACCTCCAGAGTCCTGTACATACCCTAACTGTCCGTACCCTCATTGTCCATATTTTGGGAAACAACAGGGGCCAGGAAGCTGAAGTTTTCACTCAGGCTCATCTGATACTTAAGCCTGCGTCACAAGAATGTCCAGGATTCCTAACAGTATCAAAGTCTCAAGTAATCTATCTATCTATCTATCCATCCATCTATCCATCTATCCATCCATCTATCTGTGTGTGTGTGTGTGTGTGTGTGTGTAAACCACTAAGCCTTTTCTTCTTTTATTTGAATTTTCCCTTTTTTAGAAAATATGTTGAGAAAACATAAAGGATACAAATATTTTTATTTTTATTTGAACTCAGGGCCTGGGCACTGTCCCTGAGCTTCTTTTGCTAAAGGCTAGCACTCTTACCACTTGAGCTACAGCACCACTTCCACCTTTTTCTGTTTATGTGGTACTGAGAAATCGAACCCAGGGCTTCATTCATACTAGGCAAGCACTCTACCACTAAGCCATATTTCCAGCCCACAAATAATTTTTAAAAGAAACACATAAAATCTGATCATCAAAGACAGTTACTATTAACAACTTCCTCCAACTGTTACTTTTTTCTGTGCATGCATATGAATAGTCCTTTTGCAAAATGTGATCAGGCTGATGTTCAATTAACACATTGTCTATAGCTTTATAAAGCTGTAGGTGGCAGTTGGTCTCTATTTTCTTGGACACCAAAAATGCAGTTAATCTGTATTTGTAGTTACAATTATAATCAACTTTGCAAAAATAAGGGTGGGTTTTGAAATAAAAAGTAAAATAAAAAAAGCTGGGTACTGGTGACTCATGCCTGTAATCCTAGCTACTCAGAAGGCTGAGATTTGAGGATGGTAGTTCAAAGCCAGCCCAGGTAGAAAATTCCATGAGATCCCAATTACTCACCAGAAAAATGGAAGTGGTGCTATGGCTCAAAGTAGTATAGCACTGGCCTTGAGCAAAAGAGCTCAGGGACAGCACCCAAGCCCTGAGTTCAAGTCCCAGAACTAACAGCAAAAACAAAAATTTCCAACAGGTTGAACCCATAACTTAGGAATAAATATATCATGAACATTTATTCATGCCACTATTATTCTACATTTTTAAATGAAAAAGATAACTTCTACTGTAAAATGGACATACATTCATTTCAGAAAAAAGTCATTTGGGAGACCATTTGAAAATATCCATAATCTTACCATCCAAAGATAACTAATAGCTTGGTGTGTGTCTTCTTAAGACTTTTTTCCTTTCTTTCTGAGTTTATTAAAACAAAGGATTCTGCTATATGTTGATCAGCCAGACCAGGCAGAAAAGTTCACTAGATTCCATCTCCAACTAACCAGAAATAGAGCTGGATGCATTGGCTCAAGAGTAGAATACCAGCCTCGCAAGCATGAGACCCTGTATCTCCAATAAAAAAAAAATAAAGCAACGGGGCTGGGAAGTTGGCTCAGTGGTAGAGCGCTTGCCTTGCATGCCTGAGTCCCTGGGTTCGATTCCTCAGCACCACATAAGCAAAAAGAAAAAAGCCGGAGGTAGCGCTGTGGCTCAAGTGGTAGGGCACTAGCCTTGAGCTGAAGAGCTGAGGGACAGTGCCCAGGCCCAGAGTTCAGGCCTCACGATCGGACCAAAAAAAAAAAATAAAGCAACAAAAGCCATTTAACATCATCTTTACTTGGGTTATTAATATGTATTGTCCCACCTGAGTTTCATCTCACTGGATGTCCTTCTGTTCTTTAAAGTATGGCCTCCTTTAACACTAATATCACTAATAACAAATTGGAATACAAAACAACTACATAGACATCTAGGTATAAATGTACCTGCATATATTATCTTCCAAGGGGATGATCAATTTCATGCATTCTAAGTTATGAAATGTTAAAGGAAAAGATCCCTGACATATGTGAGGCTTAGGTTCTAGCAGAAGATGGGCAGAAATCAAATGAATAAGAAACATAATTCCAGAGGAAAATCAAGTGATATGAAGTACACACACACACACACACACACACACACACACACCTGATTTGATGGAGCCTGGTGATTACTTGTGGGCAGATAGTCACAAATCCCTCTTTAAGTATGAAGATTAGTAATGAGCTGAAGTATGAGGAAGTATGATTGCTTCCAGTTTGAGAACAAGGCTTCCAAGTTTGAATTCCTTCCTCCCCAGGGAGCTTGTTGAAGAACACAAGTAGGTCTTGTGTGCTGTGTTTTCTCCAGGGCTTGGTCATCTGTACTGTCTGGTAACACGTGTTCAGAGTTCTGAGGGGTGATTTTTTTTTTTTTTTTACTCATGGCCCTAGAGTGGTGCCAGGCTGGTTGTAAACAAGCGTGAAATGAATGAGTGAATTCACTGAACTCACCTGCTCTCCGGATCACTCTTCACCATGTTCTGTAGCTTAGAGTGGGAAAATGAAACCTGTGCCCCTCTCCCCAGACAGAACCCTGGCTGTCAGCTTTGACACCACCCCCTCCTCCAGCCTAGTCACCTACTCTTGTCGTTCCTCTTCTTGTGCTAGGCTCTGTGGGTGTTTTGATCTCCTGGATTCTCTTTAACCACTCTCTGCCCTCTCAACAGCTGACTGCTCTCGAATCCAGCCAGATGGATCAAAGTAAGACAAGACATAGAAAGCCCTCACGCACTCACTCCAGTGGCTGCCTACACCATCTTCACATCCTGCGATGGTCCAAGATCTGGTGCTGTTTGGTGCCAAGTGCCTCCCCAGCCTTGGTTCTTCACCCGTTCCCTTTGCACCCCAATCTGTGTCACTGGAAACCACCATAGGATCTGACCCAGCTAATATCCAGAATGCTGTGGAGCTGAACACAGGGGCTCCTGGGAAATGAGCCTGCCCTATCCACCACATTCTCCATTGCTTGGCAAGGCTGGGCATGCAGGAGTACAGCTTTTAAGAGAGGCTGGTGATGAGCTTCCCTTTCTCCTGGGGCTTCCTGTCTGCACAGTAGGCCTCCTCCCCTCTCTTGGATTGGAGAGGCCCAACAGGACCCTTCTGCCAGGCCAACTACACAGATCTGTGTCGGCATATGAGAGGGAGCAAGGGCATGTCCTCAGGCCATAGGACATAACATGGACCCCTGGCAAGCAATTTCATGGACACAAGGGGCCCCATGATGCAGCAGGACATGTGGCAGGAAGGATAGGCTCATGTCCAGCTTCAACAAGGTGATGGGGGATGGAAAATCCTGGCTGGATTTAGCAAGGGGCTTGGACATCCTCATGGGAGGCGGGAAAGGGTAGGTCCCGATGGGGAGTAGCGCCCTCCTGTGTCCAGTGGAGAATAAAGCAATCACGTTTGAGCGGCCACTTTGTATTGGACAAGATTGATTTGTCCTTCTGATGTGTTGTTTCCATAGAAGCAGGGCTTAACCTTTTAAGTGAAGATTACAAAGCCACCTAATTCATTTAAAATTAGGCTTCAAGCATCTCGGTACTTAATGCTCAAGTGTTTCTGTGGGACTTGCTACTGCCGTTGATCCGATGGGCAGGCGGAGCTGGTGACTGCAGGGTTTCAGGAGTCTCATTCCGGTAGCAATCTAGTTTGTTTTATTCTGAAAAATTAACCTCATAAGGCAGCATAACTCCTGGGGGCGATCATCAGAATATTCATAAATACCTTCTAATTAATGAACAGTGCTGACTTCATAAACACGGGGAGACTGGCACACAGGCGAAGACACATGTGCATTCAATTAAAGTAATTTATTATATTCTTCCAGAATGGACATAAAGAGCATCTTGAGAATTGATATCACAACACGATGTTATACACCATTTTCACAACTAGCCTTGCACTGAGTTCTTTTTTTTAAAGAACATAGTAATTTAAAAAAATCTAAATATTTACATATTAATAAAACATATATACAGAAGATTGAGACATGTTATCCATAGATATGGTTTTTTTTTTGCTAAGAAAACCTATAAAAAAGGATTTTTGAACAAAGTCTGAACAGTAGTCACAGTAAGTTAACACAAATACAATTTTAAATGACAAAATATGATTTCACTGTTTATGTAGATTCCACCTTAGGAATCCATTGCACATAACTGTGAGCTGAACAACTCTACCCCTCCTCAAGTAGTGGCAGCACCAAGCTGCCACCAGACTTGGAAGGGAGTACTTTTCAAGGGTCACGGTGCAGACTAAGCGGAACTACGGTTATATTCATCATAGTTTAACAGAGTGGAAGGGCACTAATTAATCTCTTCTCGTTCGTTCAGGAATATTTCATTCTGGGAGGCAGGAGACCATTTTTTTTTTAAAAGCATCTGCTGCAGAAAAACAAAAGCGCAGGTTTGTAAGGGAGGAGTTTACCAAACCTGCAAAGGGACTGCTTTCAGGAAAGAGATCTGAAAAAGACTAAAGGAAAACTGGAAGTCTGAACCTTCCTCCTTGCTTCAACAGGAAAGATAAAAGACTCATAGACAGGCGATGTAATGACTCATTAGACTGCTTTCACAAGCCACACCTAAAACCTGGTTCTGTCACATTATGGGATGTTGTGCATCTTCTTGGGTGTAAGCTGGTCGTGGTTTTGAGGTTTGGTGTCTCAGTACAGTAACACAGTGCCTTGGACAGGTAGTATGGATATCCACATTCTGAGTGTAGCTGGCCATTGAATGGTTACCTCAGTTTAGGAACCTCCTTGGTTCCCTCACTCACTAGCCAAGGGTGGACAGAGTGGCCACCACAGTCATTGCTGGCTCCAACAGGTAGATGAAGTAGATGGTAGGGAGAGGGGTAAACTGTCAGTGTGGTGTTCTTTTCCCTTTTTTTTTTTTTGGTGGTACCAGGGTTTGAACTCAAGACCATGTGCTTACAAGCACTCTACTCCTTGAGCCATATTTCCAGCCCCGCATGGCAGGTTTTAATCCTGGGGTTTGGGTGGGTCTACAGTCATTTTTCTTTTGTGCCAAAGATTCAAGGCGATTTGCTTTTATACAACAAATGAGGTGGAAAGGTAGTGTTTCTAAATAAATGCTACTTTCAACTCACTACTGTGTTAAGAGAAAGAAAATCTGAAGGTGACTTATTTCTGTAAATCACATACCCATATCTCTTTAAAAAACATATCTCTTTAAAAAACAAACCTACATTTTCTTATGTGGGTTTTCTATAAAGTGGAGGGCAGGGACACCAGGAACCAAAATAAACAACAGGCTATTAAGCATGCCTATTGTGACCTGTCACCACACAATGTCTGAACTGGGGTCCACTCATTTAAAACCCTCTGTGTAAATGGCTACTGGGTATCAGGTGGAGAACTGGTTACTTGGAGTTTTGCATCTTTTAATTAGCTTTAATTGGTCACAATGTCAACACAATATGTATGTCATTCCTCTGCTAAGAATTCATCCTTCATTTTCACTTATTCAATGCCAAATGGCTGTTTAGGGGGAACACTGATGTCACAAATGATTTCATCTAACAGGCCGGCGCTCTCTCCTCTCCCCAAACAGCTGTTCTTGTGCACTGAGGAAGGCCTAATTAATTCTGGCCTTCACAACCTCTCTGAGGCCTGCAAAGAGCCATTCTCCTTTATAGGCAGCTAACAGTTTACATGAAAATAAACAGGCTCCAAAACTGTATATTCACCTTTAGGTTATGCTGAATAAAGCCAGGGAGAGATAGGCTCTTGGTGACAGACACAGAACTAGTAACTGGATTGTTCACAGTACCTTCAAAGGTAACAGATCAACTAAAAACAATTTTGAAAGTATCATATATCCATCTGGCTGTGTGATCATCACATCTTACAAAGAAATCATAGGAAACGATTCAACCATGACAGATAAACTTCACAAAACATCCACACATGGCAGTGTGGGTCTTTGAGTAGATTCAAATGGAAGAGTTACGTATGCTAATGATCAACGTCACTAAAGCACAAGTCTAGGCAATGAACCCGGTTCTCTGTCCACCGTGTTTCCTCTCCTGGTGTCAAATATATCACCTACAACAGAGACAAGACAGTAAAGGAGGAGCTGTTGCTCTCAGGGACCACATGGTGAAAGCCAGGTATTCTGGACAAGGAGGGATGAAGTGGGGGTGGGGGACTAGCACGAAGAGGTATCTGGGTCCCAGAGTTCAATAGTTAAGTTTATAGTCAAGGCTTTAGTTGTGCTAAGTGTGCAATTATAGGACTTAGAAGCCTGTAATGATTTTTTTTTACAGGCAAGCCCATGTCTATATCATGACTGTGTGTTATGATTAGAGTATGGCCACACAATAGGAAAGGGCTAAGTAGAAAACCATTTACCTCCCAAATAGAATATGGTGCAATAATAATGCATATACAGATTTGGTTGCTAATTGGAGATGAGTCTCATGACTTTCTTGTCCAGGTTGGCTTCAAATGGTGATCCTCAGAACTCAGCCTCCTGTGTAGCTAGGATGATAGATGAGAGCCACTGACATCCAGCAAGGGCCTCATTTTAAATTTTAGAAAGCAATGTTTTGATTTCACTTTCTCTGTACTTATTTTTTTAACTGCCAGTTGTTCCCAGATCCTGGGAGGCTTTTTCTTTTTTCCCTTCTCCAACATTGTCTCCACATCTGTGTCACAGAATTTCGGTAGCTGCCTCTGTCTCTCTCTCTAGTCTGATGACAGGTATGTAGACACCAGACCACAACACCCTGATGGGCCAGCAACTGCTCAAAAGGCTCTCTGAGCAGTGCTCAGGAGGAATACATTAAGAAAACATGCTTCTCCATTATACAATCTGTATCTGTTTTTGTTAAAGTCAAACAAACAGAAGGTTGTTTAAAAACACTAGGTGGAAACAACTGTCATTTGACTGCCTGACTAAAACCCTTGTAAAGTCACTTCTGGCTTAGGGCAACATGTAAAGATGTCTAGCTTTCCAGCTTTCCATTCCCCATACACCCAGACTCTTAGAAAACAAAGCATTGTTGAGTATGTGAAAGGATCGCTTGATCAGCTGAGATACATGAGAAAATGGAAGTCTATATCAGAACTCTTGGTGGCTTCCATGGTTCTGGTGAGGCTGTGTCCAAGGAATAAGACACAGGTGTGCAAGAAGCTGGCGCTAACATTTGCTGCTCATATCAGGGACATGGGAGGGTGTCAGCAGTAACATTACACTCCGAGGAGCTGACCAGACTGGGTTTTAGAGAGGCAACTAAGACACGTGCTAGATTATCAATATTATTTTATTACTATGTAATATGAGCACCAATCTGTGCCTTCAGTTCTCCTTTTCAAAAATGACCAAACTTTTAATTTCCCATGCTGTTTCGTAATCTGTATCACTTTCAGTAGTCAGGTGAAAGACCCTTGTTACTCTCTTCCATTATGACCTCACAGCCTCAGGCAAATTTTGAGAAAGGACTTGAATGAGCTTAAACTCTAGTGAGCTGTGTGGCTACACTGATGACAGACATTCTAACTGTGACGACTGTGAGACATTAAAATGGAATCCTAAAGGGATCAGTACATCCATCAGCTCTTAGAATCTTGTAGGAAGCATGCAGAGAAAAGCTGACTTTGGCTTAGGTATAAAACAACGCTATGGTGTAGGTGTCATGGTTGGGAGGCAAGGAGGCCTGGGGTCCTGCCAAGCCTTCAGCCAGCTGTGAGACCTTGAGAAAGTCATTTAATGTTTCTGGGCCCTCAGGCTTTTTTTCCTGTAAAAATAAAAGGACTGGATAAAAAAAGGCAGGGATTGGACTAGATGATCTCTCAAGTTCCTTCTCATTCTGATTCCTCCAAAGCCTTTTTGGTTCCATGAGGCTGTTCTAGCTTGCCCTGTGACTCAATTTTCTCACATCAAACGTTTCTACCTCCAATTAAATATAAAGGTATCACATCAAGGCACATGAAAACAAAAGCTCACTGAAACCCACCAGGTCAAATGGCTTTAGGATAGTTGGTACCGACGCCCACAGGGTAGTGAGCAGGAAGACACTAACACTAGTATGATTAGTATTGCCTGCATCTTCTGGGAATGGGCTGGGACTGTTAAGAATAAAGACTGATAAGTTGTCCTGATATTCAGAGAATGATAGATTGGGAAGGAACAACAGAGATCATATATTTCAATTCTCTTAATTCACAAATGTGGACACATAGCCCAATAAGAGCAATTCCTCTGACATAATGACTATATATGGGAAGGACCTGAAACAGGCAGACCCTTTTTGTACTATGTGGCTCATTTCATTTATTTGTCCATCGATCTGTTGCTTAGCTACTCAACTCAGAGAAAGCAATGTATCATTTACACAGCTGGGTTTTCCTGCTGTTCTCAAGTTCATTACAATATGCCCATCCTTCACCCATCAACTCTGCTTTAGTGGCCATCTTGGGATGGTGCTGCCAATGAACATGGGACCACAAGGAAGTCTACTAGGAATCCTTATACAGACTAGATTCTCGAGGAGCATTCACTGAATTTCATTAAAATCTCTAGAGGAAAAGGACTGATTCAAGCTTTATCAGTTATGAGATTTCTCTGGGGATGTCTGTATTTTGTGGATGGAATCTTCAGGTATTCTTTTGAAAGCAGGCAACAGCGAAGTTCTGAGACCAAATGAGGGAATCAATTGTTTGGCACATGGCTCACTGTTCAGACACTTGTCCCTCTAGCTCTCAGGAGGCCAGGGGCAGGGATAGGACTCAAATACTGTGAGGTCAGAGTCATGTCTGTGGTTTAATACAACTGTGTGCAGCAGATGCTTTAAAGCTCTGTTGCGGATCTGGTCAAGTATTAGGACAGTGTGTCACTCATACTGACAGACGGGCTTGTTCAGCCACACAATTAAAACCCAGCAGTGACTGGTTCTTTCCTGTTTAAAAAATATGGATGGACTGCCTCTGAAGAGGCCTTTTGGAGGGAGTAAGGGAAGACAGCATAGGTATGAATTTGGTCACAGAAAACTGGTGATGCCTACTGCTAAAGTGAAGATTTCATTTTACATGGAAACACTTTGTAATTCTAACTTTTTCATCCTAACTTTCTAGGATTTGCATTTTTGAGATGTAGATGAATCTGAAAACAGTGAGGGAAAATAAAAAGGTCACTTTTTCAAAACCTGTGTGAACCCAGGTTCTTGAGAAGCTGTGGATGCCGAGGCCTGGGTGTGCGATGTACAAACAGCTTGCTCAAGCATCTGCATGTCTAATGGCAAAGCATTTTCAATGCCAGTATTTCCCAGCCTGTGCTCTGCAGCGGGTGATGAAAATGTAAATATGTTTTACCTGTTGGTGGTAGAGAAATGCTGTCCAGTCTTTCATCACCGTCAGCTACCTCTGCTGGTTACGAACATAAAACACAAATCTCATTAGTTTCAGGGAACACATTCATTTTGCTGAACACAGTAATGCAATTAAAATAACTCCAGTGTACATGGCCGTCTACACTCTTCCTCTTCGCTTCAGTTGGCTCACATTACAGATTTCAACATCATTATTAAAATAAAGAAAACGTATTTTATTTTTGTGATGATATAGAGGCTTGAACTCAGGTTCTGGGCACAATCCCTTAGCTTTTTTTTGTGCTCAAGGATAGTGATGCTCTGCCACTTGAGCCATAGCTCTACTTCTGGCTTTTTGCTAGTCAACTGGAGATAAGAGTCTCAAAGACATTCCTGCCTGGGCTGGCTTTGAACTGCAATCCTTATATCTCAGCTTCCTGAGTAGCTAGGACTACAAGTGTGAACCACCGGTATAGAGAATAGCAGAAAATCAGCTTTCTTGCATTAAATTTATTTAAAAAAATCTTCTGAGCCTTATTTTGTCAATCATTGATAATTTTAGTTCACTTTCCTTTAATTGCACTGCCATAAAAACCAGCCACAGCAGGGCTGGGAAGGTGGCTCAGTGGCAGAGCGCTTGCCTTGCATGCATGAGGCCCTGGGTCCGATTCCTCAGCACCACAAGCAAAAAGCAAAAAGCCGGAAGTGGCGCTGTGACTCAAGTGGTAGAGTGCTAGCCTTGAGCTGAAGAGCTGAGGGACAGAGCCCAGGCCCAGAGTTCAGGCCCCACGACTGGAACCCCCCCCTCAAAAAACAAAAACAAAAACAAAAACCAGCTAGCACTGGAATGGACTGCTCAACTGTGAGGCAGGCAGGTCAGTGAATTCCAATTGTAGAACTGGAGTCAGCCTTAGAGAATCCAGACACTGAACCTTTTTGTGGAGATACCTGGAAATTCCGGACCACAAGCTGCCAGCCAATCTCTGCCTTCAGTTCAGTCATGAAGGAAGCTGTGAATGGTCTAGCTGGAGGGCACCTGCCTAGCAAGAGCAAGACCCTGAGTTCAAACCCCAGTACCACCAGACACATGTACACACACACACGCACATACACACACATACAAATCAAGTTTCTTCAAATGAGGCTTCATTTCTAAGATTTAAAATGCAAACCTTGAGCCAGGCACCGGTAGCTCATGCCACTCTTCAGAAAACTGGAAGGGTGCTGTGGCTCAAGTGGTAGAGTGCTAGCCTTCAGCTGAAGAGCTGAGGGACAGAGCCCAGGACAAGTTCAAGCCCCACAACCGACCAAAAAAAAAGCAAACCTTGCATTATAAATCCTGCTACACACACACACACACACACACACACACACACACACACACACACACACACACACACACACACACACACTTTACTCTCCTTAGTAGTTTTGCAAAGGGAGGTACTTCATTCACAAAGAAAGGGCCCCAAAGCCTTGACATGCCAGGCACAGAGGTAGTGTTAGCTATGGCTGCTGGGTAATGTTGGTGGCATGCTCTATGTTCCTATGGAAGGCTGAACACACTGGCACATGGACAGTATGGACACATGAGGATTGTCATTCCTATCATATTCAGTATTCAGCTGGCAGCAAGCAAAAGCAATACTCAGTCCTCATTTTTACTCTTTTTTTTTTTTTTGTCAGTTGTGGGGCTTGAACTCTGGACCTGGGCTCTGTTCTTCAGATTTTCAGCTCAAGGCTAGCATTCTATCACTTGAGCCACAAGTTCCAGTTTTCTGGTGGTTTTATTGGAGATAAGAGTCGCACTGACTTTCCTGCCCGGCTTGGCTTTGAACCGCCATCCTCAGATCTCAGCCTCCTGAGTAGCTAGGATTACAGGAGTGAGCCACCAGCTCCTGGCTCATTTTTACTCTTGCACACGCACACACATGCATGTACATACACACACATGCACACACCAGTCTGAGGTACAGTCCAGCTATTCTTACTTTTTATAAACAGACCTATGTAACTCTGTCAGAAGAGAACACATAGAACCAAAAGCTATGTAAACTATATAAATTAGCATATGACAGCTTCATGATCATGGCCAGGTGTGACAGATGAAGGACATCGCGGTATCATATGAAGTTAATTATAACATCTGTCTGCAACTGTAAGTTCACAATCCTTCTTCCCTCTGACAGTCTAGTAAAATTTAGAAAAGATTGAGCAAGCCTAATCAAAATTTACTAGCAATGACGGCTTTAACCCTGGGATCTCACACAAATAATAAATTGTGATTTCAGCTAAGGAAGTAGTTTAATAAAAATGATAAAAAAAATCCACACCAGGAAAGGAATCATTTTAGTTATATACAAAAAATTATTCCATGTGATGAGAACTCCAAATGAATTTCTGTTTGGATTTGCATAACAACCTTTCCCATGGGGGCCTGGCTACTAATTTTCCCAGAGGCACCGAAGATTATGCTCAGTGGTTACTGATGAGCGTGGCCCAGCCAGGGTCTGTACCTCATTCTAGGAATTGAGCCAAAGATGATAAATAAGGCTGAAGTTGTAGAGTATCTATGACATACTTTGTATTATCATTTAGATGGAAAATAATCAAGACAAAAACAGCACAAGAGCTAGTTATTGATCCAGGCCTCTTGGTCCCTTTGTACAAATTTCGAGGCACTCTGGTTTCAATTTGCTTTTCTGATGCCCCAGAATGCAGGGTGACAAAGTAGGAAGACAAAGTCTAGTAGGTGGTTCCTGGCTGATGAGCCAGGATTTCTGTCTGGAGATCAAGGGGCGGTTCTGTCTTAGCCACCTCCCACTTCCTAGTCCTCATAGAATCTATTTAAAATACAGTCCAAATAGGCAGAGCATCTCAACTCAGTGATCAAAAGTTAAAATATACCAGGCCAAGTGTCATAATGTTACAGAATAGGAATAGACAGTGTCCAGAGCTTCTGAGTGAGTGAAAGCTTCCCAGAGGAAGGGAAGAGAGAGAGATCATGTTAACAGTTCTAAAGAAATAGCAAATGGGGAGGGGGAAATGAACATTTAAAATGTGATTTTTTTCTTTTTTGGTCCAGTCGTGGGGCCTGAACTGGGCCTGGATGCTGTCCCTCAGCTCTTCAGCTCACGGCTAGCGCTCTACCACTTGAGCCACAGCGCCACTTCCGGTTTTTTCTTTTTTGCTTATGTGGTGCTGAGGAATCGAATCCACGGCCTCATGTATGCAAGGCAAGTGCTCTACCACTGAGCCAACTTCCCAGCCCTAAAATGTGATTCTTAACAGAAATGCTGTGATTGTTAAGGTATGGTCACGGGTTGGGCACTGGTGGCTCACACCTGTAATCCTAGCTTCTCAGGAGGCTGAGATCTGAGGATCGCGGTTCAAAGCCAGCACAGGCAGCACAGGCTCTTATCTCCGCCAGAAAACTGGAAGTGGTGCTGTGGCTCAAGTGGTAGAGCGTTTGCCTTGAGCTGAAGAGCTCAGGGACAACACCCAAGCCCAGAGTTGAAGCCTCACAACCTACCCCCCAATAAAACCCAAAACATTACACATAATGCTGATAGCTGTGACAAAGGGACTGAAAAAATAAATTGTCATCCAGGTAACCTACTGGGCAGCTTACCTGCGCATTTCTTTTTCTCGCTATTTTCATTCCTGCTAAAGCTGCATTCCTATCATTGGGAGCAGCCTTCTCTAATATATCCCTCCTTTTCATGACTTTGACCTTCAAGGTTTTTCTTAACACTTTTAGGTCCTTAGAAAGGGACTTTTAGTTACACTCTTTAGCGAGAGGCACACATTTGGATCACAAAGGTCTCTTGTTCTTTCTTGGGTGGTCAGTCTGCTGCCCTCCAGTTAGGAACAGCAACAGTTTGAGCTCATCTACTTCCTTCTTTCATGCTCTTAGGGAACTGTGGGTATTTCTTACATGTCCCCATCTGCTCCCACCAGCACCAAGAGGCAGCTGCATGCCCAGGGGTTACCTGGCCTGCCCCAGGCTGGCTCAAAGTTGGCAGCACAGTTGTTATCAGGTAGTGGGCAGACCAAAGGTAGCTGTGTAGCTGAGTCTCAGCTACACTGATCCTCTACCTTTGGGCCTACTGATGCTAGACTTACTTCTCTTCATTCTAACACACTGTAGCTTTCTCTCAAACCTAAATACCATGTTTAATGTTTCTTCATTTTGGGGAATCAACAATTTCCTCCTGCAGATCAATAGGTAAATGGAAATTCTTGCACACTCATCAGTCAAGATTCTCAAGGCAGAATCTAGACCACAAGGGCCATTTTATGCTTGTCATCACGGGCGCCCCGCAGGTTAATGCCTGAAATGTGAGCTGGGCTGTACACACTGAGGGGCTGCAAGGCCACCTCAGCGCTCAGGAAGGGACCTGGGCTGGGTCAGGGGTGACAGCCCACTTGACCTTCACCTTCCTCCCTTCTCCCCTTCCCTGCACTTCTGCCCCAGAACGACATAGCCCTTCACCAGCTGCAGTCTTTCAACCATGGAAGATAGTTTCTCTTTGCTGCCAACTCAACCATTCCAGGAAATGGGGTGGGGTGGGGGGAAATGGGGGACTTGGTGATGTAACTGCTAATAAAATGGGGCTTTGCCATGTAAGGCAAGGCAGAAGCAGTTGACCTTTAGGTACACAGGTGAAGGACCTCTGCCAGCAGGAGATGGATCTTTCCAGTTAGTCTGCTCTGGATGAGGCCAGGACACAGGGGATTAGATGCTGCACTTTTGAGAGAGGATGGGAGGAGAGAGGAGACTGGCAAAGGTGTACAGACAGTGTTTAAGAGATGAGGCAGAAAAAGAAGTGCGAGGAAGGGCTGAGGAGGAGAAAATAAGGTGTGAGGAAGGGGTGAATGTTGTTCCCACAAGGCTGGGCTGAAACTCAAGGCCTCACATTCTCCCCTTCTCCACTGGAGGCCGGACCTCCACCACTCAAACCACACATTCACTACCAGCTGGTTAATGAGAGATAAAAAGTCTTAAGGATTTGTCTGCGCAAGCTAGCTCGAAATCTCAATTCTCACATCTCAGCCTCTGTGTAGCTAGGATTTACAGATGCGAGCCACAGGGGCCCAGCCAGACTTTGTTCTTAAGCACAGAGCTCAGGACACTGCCACCCACAGGTCCTGAACCTCAAGGAAGTGACAAGGCTTTCATACCATTTCAACAAAACTAACAAGACCTCTTTGTAGTGGACCACAGTCTCTTCCTTCTGGGATCACTGAAAGTTTCACTGATTCACTCAACAAATATTTCTTGAGTCAGCCCTGTCTCACACTAGTGCTCCTGTGTGTCACTTGGGACACAACCATGGCTCAGCAGCAGCCCTAACCTAGTCTAGCAAAGGAAGCAAAGATATGATTGTGCAGGCAGCAGAAGATCAAAGTAGCTAGGCTCCAATGAAGATTCGGGACAAAGAAACCTCTGCAGTGTTTAGGAAAGATGGTACAGAGAGGCCAGAAGCAGGGCAGAAACCAGCTTATTTCCAGAACAAGGAGAAAGCTGGTGTGGATGTCTGGTGGAGATGAGGCTGATGTGGAGGGCAGGGTTTTCCCTGATAAGCATTTGTTTAGGTAGGATCTGAATGTTTCTCCCCAAGTTACTGTGTTACAACAGCACTGGGAGGAGATTAGGCCACAAGGGCTTTGGCCCCCTGAATGGATGACCGTTCATATTATAGGAGGGGGTTCACCCTTAGAAAAGGGTGAGGTCGATCTCCCTTTCTCCTTAATATTTTGCTTTTCAGCCATGAGATGATACAGGTCATGTGCCCTCTGCCAGCTACAGTCCCTCAATTTTGGACTTCTAGCCTCCAGAACTGTGACCCAGAACTGGTCACTACTAATTAATTACCCAGAGTCTGTGACATTCTGCTATAGCAGCACAAAATGGATTTGGAGACATAATCTCACACAATTTTGCAGGTGTGGTCTTATAGGCTTCCATTGTATCTAAAATGTGCAACATCTCATCACCCAAAGTCTACCTCCAACCTGCCTCACACTCTTGGCCCGGGGAGTCCTTGAGGGCTGGGTATCTTGATGTTTGATCTCAATTCTTTTCATTTTATTTTACTTATTGTCTGACAAATGAGCTTGTATATATTTATGATGTACAACATGATGTTTAGAAATATGCACGCACTGTAGAATGGCTTAGTGAACTAATTAACAGATGTACTGCACCACAAACTGTGGGGAAGTTTCAAGTATACTAAGAATTAGTGCTCCTGGTCAACACGTTACACAGTAGATCTTAATTTATTCTTTTTGTCTCAGTGAAATTTTATATTCTCTGGCATCTGTCCCCAATTCCCCTTCCCCCTTGGAGCCTTGTTTACTCACTGCTCTATGCATTCTATTCCTTTAGATTCTACAGTGAGAGCACGTGGTATTTATATTTCTGTGCTTCACTTACAAAACATCCTCCAGGCCTACCCATGTTGAGGCAAATGACAGGACTTCCTTCTTATTTAAGGCTAAAAAGTATTCCACTGTATGTAGATACTATGCTTTTCTGTATCCATTGATCCACTGGTAGGCTAGGTTTATTCTTGATCTTAGCTACTAGGAAAAATGACTCAGTGAGCTGAGCACTCCCAACTGTATGCATAGTTACTCAGGAGGCTGAGGTCTGAAGATCATGGTTTGAAGCCAGTTGGGGCAGGCGAATCTGTGAGACAACCTCCAATGAAGCACCAAAAAAAGTCAGAAGTGAAGCTGTAGCTCAAGTGGTAGTGAGACAGCTGGCCTAAGCACAAAAGCTCAAGGACAGTACCCATGCCCTGAGTTCAAGGCCCAGGCCCAGCACATAAAAAAGTAAAATGAATCAGGGACTACAGGAATACAGAAAGCTCATCAACATACTCATTGGTTTTGGATTTATGCCCAGTAGTGGTTTGCCATATCATATGGAAGTTCTAATTTTATTTTTTTAAAGAAATTTTCAAATGAATACCATTTTTCATAGTAGATGTACCAATTTACATGGGATTTAAAAAATACCTAGAGATTTGTGGCCCCTTTAGAGATAACTGTTCTTGTTGGTAGGAAAATCAACCTCAGAAAGCTCCCTCGCTGGTAAATTGGCCTGCTGAGATTTCAAATGACCAGATTTAATCACAACCCAACTGGCGCTCACATTCCTGGAAGAATAATACATAAACTGCCATAGTCAGATTTTTAAAAATTTAAACACACACACACACACACCACCTTAAGTAACTAGGATCTTTAAAATGTCATGCAAATTTAAACAAAAATCAATACACAGAAACGAAAGTTTTAAATGTCAGACCACAAATGAGATTGACCATCTTTTCTTGACTTGTGCTATTCAAAACAAATGGCCTGACATATTTTTACTATTCAGTCTTAAGGTGAGCTTCAAAATTCTTGAGTATGACTTTAAGACGGCACATTACATAGAGCGACTCCTTCAAATGACAAATGATACCACAGTATCTCAGAGGAAACTATTATGCTTTATTAAGTCGAAGAATTCAATAAAGTATTTCTGCAATTACTTTAAAAAAAAACCCAGCTTATTCCTACCTGAGCCTCTTTTTAACCTTCTTCTGGCAAGTTTAATTTGATCCTGTAGAATTTGTACCCAGTCTCGGGGGCCAGGAAGTTTATCCACATGGTTAGCAGTACAGTATTTTTCAGTGAAAACTGTAAGAAAATGTGAAATATTGTTAAATATTGAAACAGATCAAATGGGCAAGTCTCAACTAGGAATATAGTCCAAGAAGAAAACAAGCCCTTTTCCTTTCTCTTTCCTTCTTTCCTTTCCTTTCCTTTTCCCTTTTGTTAGGGAAGAATTGGGCATGTGCTAAGCATGTGCTTCACCACTGAATTCTATTCTTGTCTCCAGAGATGAATTTCTAAAGGAAATCAGTTCTGCAGCACACATCTCTCATATCTGTAGCATTATTCCTTTGGGTAAAGCTGGTGACCAGATGGGCCATGGCTACATGTAAGAAATACTAAGGTTGTAAGCAAACTGCTCATTTACTTGTCTCTATCTTGTGTGTATGCATCTGGGAGACGAAGGAGGAAATATTTCCTAGCCCCAACCCAATGACAAAGCTCAGCACTAGAAGACTTCACATTTTTTTTCTTGTTGTAGACTCAAAACCAAATGCAAGACTACACACAAAGATGATCTCATGGTGACTCCCATGAACTCAATCAGTACTCAACATAATCATGCAGCATGTCCTAGTGAAATTCAAATGACACATTCTGATATAGAAATAGCAGTTCTACTTTGAGTCAGCCCCTTGCCTACTGGACTATGTCCAAGGAAAGATATACCCTATTTAAGCACAAAGAAAACCCTGGAGAATCATAGGGCAGGACAAAGGTAAGACAGGAGAATGACCTTAAGGAAAGCTAAGCACCGTGTGTGACTGCACACAAGGCACTGGGGCTGACATTTCTGCATCAGACTGGTGCTGAGCACTCAAAACTCCCCTTTTCAATCTGCTTTCCATACGGTCAACAGCTAGTCTGCAGTCACATCACACTGCCTTCGTGGTATTTAAAACACTGATAATTTTAATGTTTTAGAAGGGTTCCTTAAAAAAAAGAAATTAACAAAGGAAAATACTGACAGCTTTAACTATAGAAAAATTGAACAGAAAGGAAACATTTGAGCAGAATAACAAAAGTTGTCTATATTGAATATGACTGAGAATGTTCAATATTTATAAAAGAGCAACCTCAAAAGTCCCTATAGAAAATGAACAGAGCATATCCACAGTATAAAGTATTAGGGAAAATGTCCAACCAACATGTAAATCAAAGAAGAGAAATATACTATTTGCTAAACTAAAAATATGCTAAAAAGCTTATATCTGGTACTGATAAAATTGTGAAAACATTCAAATATTACTGAGGAGCTAAGTGGGCAAAAATCCATTTGGGAAAGAAGTGTAATATATCATGAGAAATATGGACAGTACTATTACTCCTAGAAATAGATCCTAAAGAAATAATTTGAAAGGAGACCAAAAGATATACATGTGTGATCTCAACTGTAAGCAACCTAACTGTGCAATAGAGCTACAGGGAAGCCAAAGGAAGAGTCAATTTGGGAGAAAGCAGAGTAGAAGTAGGGGATCTCTTCAGGAAGTTACTACATTTGCCTGAGACAAGTATCTAGGACAAAAAAAAAAGGCTTTTTTCCCCCTTTTTTTGTGTGTGTGGATCATATGATACTGCAAATACTGAAGAAAGAAAAGGTTTATGAGGTGAAAGGTGGGGCATTGTAGTTCTGATGTGGGTATTTATATGCTACTCACATGAAGATGGCTAGCAGAGATTTAGGGAAGTACAGGGCAGGGGGCCAGGCTGGAGACAAACACAGTTGTGTTTCCATGCGGGCTGGTTCCAGGACCTTGGAGGACATCAAAATCCTTAGATGGGCAGGGGACTGGCGACTCATGCCTGTAATCCTAGCTACTCAGGAGGCCAAGATCTGAGGATTGGTTTGAAACTAGCCCATGCAGGAAAGTCCATCAGCCTCTTATCTCCAATTAACCACCAATAAAGCTGAAGTGGAGCAGTGGCTCAAGGGGTAGAGCACTAGCCTTGAGCAAGAAAGCTTAGGACAGTTTTCTAGGCCCTAAGTTCAAGTCCCCATTTCTCCCCTCCCACAAAATCTTGAGATGCTGAAGTATCTTACATAAAATGTTGCTTCATTTACATATAGGCTACATCCTTCTATACGTTTTTCTTTTGTTTGTTTTTGTTTTGGTTTTTGGGTCCGGTCGTGGGGCCTGAACTCTGGGCCTGGGTGCTGTCCCTCAGCTCTTCAGCTCAAGGCTAGCGCTCTACCACTTGAGCCACAGCGCCACTTCCAGCTTTTTTCTTTTTGCTTATGTGGTACTGAGGAATCGAACCCAGGGCCTCATGCCTGTAAGGCAAGCGCTCTACCACTGAGCCACCTTCCCAGCCCCCCATCTATACATTTTAAAATCACATGTAGATTACTTATAATATCTGATCAATGTAAATATTATGTAACCTATTGTATTATTTAGGAAATGGTAAGACAGTCTGTGCATGTTCTAATTATTTTTTTGGTGGGGGTGAGGGGGGTAGGGGGATGAGGGGGCAGTAACTGGTGATTGAATACAGTCTTTTGCCTGCTAAACTCCCAGGTCACAAGTTGTATAGTATGGCAGTTTTTTAAAAATGATGCTGTGGTTTCTCCCAATATTTTCAGTCTCTGGCTGGTTGAATCTGTGGATATAAGACCTGCTGACACAGTTGGCCAATTATATATGTGGTAGTTAGAACACAGGGGAAAAATGCCATGAAGCAGAAAACCTGCAAGTAAAACAAACAAACAAATGCCCTGTGCTGTGCACAGAGCCCTGGAGAACACCAATTTTTAAAAGAGGGCAGAGAAGTCCAGGAAGAAGTTTGGAATAACTGACTGCAAAGCCAAGGGGTCCAGAAATGGGGTTTGTTAAAGAGCAAGTGGTTCTAAATGGAAAGGGAACCGACAGCTTCTAGTGCTGTCAAGACTCAGGGAACTTTATGGTGAGGCACCATGGACAATGCAGCCTGTGTGAATGTCTGGAATGGTCTCTGGGAAGACTGGGAAAGCGGCAGGTTGGGGACAAACAGGAAGGCCTCCAGCAGTGGATAGGGTGACTATAGTCATTCACAGGTAGGCTATCATCTTCCTCAGTATCTTGTTACTAGCTAGGACATTGGTTGCTAGGGCTGGCCCAGGGTTGCTGGGCAGGTTCAGCAAAAGAACAGGGTTGTCAAAAAAGGATACTTTGACAAGGGGAACAAAGGCACAATGCCTCGATGCCTCTTTATATTTATATAATATATATATATATATATAATTGAAATGCCAAAATTTTGAAATAGATCTTTAAAAAAATTATTTTTGATGATTCTGTCTTCTTATGTATGATATATCTGCATGTATATCTTTGGGAGAGTTGGGGGGGTACAGAACTCGAGGGAAAAAGAGGGAGAAAGTACAGGAGTGGAGCTCACTGAACACTGATGAAAGTGAACTATAGAACTCATGGGTGGAGGTGGGCGGTGGAACTGGGAGAGAGTGAGGAAACAGAAGAGACTGAAAGGAAAGGAAAGGAAATGCACTCAATTACTTGACACATGAAATTGTAATCCCTCTGTACATCATCTATATAAAATAAATTTAAAAAAAGAACAGAGTTATAAGCATGTTGAGGTGAATTATGTCACCTTTCTATTCTTCCCTCCCTTCTCTTGAATTTGGGGAGGAAGTAAGACTTAAAAAAGGCTCACTGACTTCAAGTTATCGCGGGATCAGGAATGGGAGGTAGCAGTGGATTAGCAAACAGAGATGTCACTTGCCATGGGGATGGCAGGAGACATGCAGACTAACAGTCTCACAGACACAGTGAGCATCAAGTAGCAGTGACAGAGTAGAGCTGTGTGAGAGGATGAAAGGTGTGTTCAGTGGTGGAGACTGCAAGGCAGAAGAGGTAAAAGGCACCACAGATGCCATCCTGAAACCCTGTGGCCAGGGAGTCAGATAGATCTTCATGTGGACAGTGGGGTTATCTAAGATGACAAGAGACTGAGGCAGATAGAAGAAGATATACAGCTATGAGAAGACATTTGGTGGAAAGATTCCATCACAGCTCCACCTGAGTAGAGGAGGGGCCTGGTTAGGAAGCAGAATTAAGGAGTGGGAAAATACCTACCAAGTTCCCTATTGAATGTTACATGGGGCACAGGAGAGCAAGCAGCCTCCCTCTGGGAGAGATGCTGAAGAGATACAGCATGCCCACCTTGTTTGCAGTTTTAATACCTGCAATTTTGACCAAGTGTGGTTCTAAAAACAAAAGAAGAAATGGGGGAAAAAAAAAGGGAATTTCAACAGCAAAGCTTTTGAAATTCCAGCACGCTGTGCAGTCCGGTGGCTATCATCAGCTGTGTTTCAATCATTGTGTGATTCTGCTGTTTCCTTGCTCTGAATGCTGCGAAAATATGCCTCCACAAAAGAAAATGGTACCCAAACAGTAAGGTAAAAATCATGGCAATCCTCTCAAGCCCCCAAAGCACACATAATGTGCTTAACCTTTCAGGTGGCATGCTTTTAGTGGAAGTTGAGGAATGTTAGGGGGAAAATGAGCAGAGCATCCAAAACAGGCTGAATGCTATACATCCTGAGCATGTGCTGTTTGTCCACACGACAGTCTCCTCAGGGCCATATGAACACCCATACCAAGGCTCTACCCTATCTCCCTGGAGTATAGGTTTACTTTTAAATCTACTATATACGAGGTTCTCCAGTCTCCCTCAAAGTATCTGGTATATAGTGCCTAGAAACTACAGAGAAAGGTGATGAGTATACAGAGCTATTTCCTAGGGTTGCTTCTAGTGGAAACAAACATGGGAGCTCACAAAATTTAGACTAACCGGGAGTAAACAAGCACATTTGAATTAGTGGAAAGTGGACTAATTAACAGAATACATTTAAAGAAACAAGGTTTTATTGACACTCAACCACAATAACATTTACTAACAGGAGAATTCACAAAAGGTTCTTTAAGTTCTGCTTTCAACAAATAAAGAAGATATTTAATTATGTGAAAACATGTAATACAGAAACAACTGAACGTGTTAGCTTAGAAAGTAAACATTTTCCT